AGAAATCTACAGTTCCGTTAGCATAGACGGCTGAGTTAGCACAACAAGCCGAGGAGCTAACCTGAAACTTCCTCGTCTTCGTCACCGGTTACTGCTTACACAGCGAGACAGCCATCCAAAAGAAAGTCTCGTTCCTCCGCGCTTCCCGGTTCTATCGTTCTATAGTCACGCCATCCACGTACAAATCCATATCCATGTATTATCCATATTGAGAGACACTAGCTCCGTCCCAACAGTGAGTGTGTGTGGAGGGCGATAGCTTCGTGGGTGCGGGGAGGGGAGCAGAAAGAGCGAGGCCAGCGAGTCCGCGGCTTCAAAATCCCAAAGTCAGTTAGTGCAGCTTTAATAATACATCAAACTTATTCAGCGCTTTTTTTGGACACTCAAAGACCCTTTACAAAACATACAAAAATTAACATTGAACAAAATTAAAGAAAGGCATCGTGTAACAGGTGGGTTTTGAGAAGTAAATGTAGTTCTACAGCGAGTCGGCGTTTCTTTACCATACTTTCTCTTGTCCAGAAAGTACGGTAGTTTGTTCCAGAATGTGCCTTTTACAAAGATGAGACATGTCTGCTGATACATTATCATAAGGATTTTATTGGAGACATATAATATAAAGAGATTGTAAATATATTTTCTATTCTATTGTCCCTTGTAGCTCAGTAACTGTTACCCTTTAAGATAAGTTCTTTATTCGTCCCTCAGTGGAAATGTTAATGTCATCGTTGCACACAATACAGCAGAATATAAAGTGGGAAATAAGAGCACTCAGATTGTACACATAAAACAGGATCTAATATTTAAGATAATGAATTAGAATAAGATAAAACTTTTGATCTATAATTGCACTTGGTTCTGAGGTATTTACAGATGTGTATATTGTACTTTAGCAGCAGAGAAGATTCAGATTCATTTTATTAGCCATGTGCAGTATAAAAACTACATTGGAATACATTCGCAAAAAAGGTACTCTTGAGAATATGAGCAGAGTAAACAATAGTAATAATAGCAGCAGGTAAAGTGACTAGTGACAGAAATATCAGATGAATGGATATGTAATAATGCAGTGGTAATAATAATAATGATAAAAATAACAACAGGGCTTAAAACATCTGCGGTTTTGCGCTCTCAATCATCCTGGGTTTTATGTTTTGATATCGTCTTTGTAAATCCAGACATGAGCCGATATTATTGTCCAATAAAAATTGTTTTTGCTGTTAGGCCCCCTGGCTGTAATCCTAGGGTAAGACAGGGCCAAGACTTAGACTTAGACTTAGACTTAGACAGACATTATTGAGCCACAAGGGATATTGCGTAGTCACAGTAGCTCGCATAGTATTTCACAATAAAAATAACATTGAAGTATCAATCTGAAAATAAGAATAATAATAAGATAATATTGTGAGAATAGAATAATCTGGATATACTGTAGGTACTCAGGAATATACATGTACATATCTGTGAATATGCGCATATTGACCGGATAGAATACAGAGATACCGCGCCCTAATGAATGAGATTGTGATTGGAACTTATTCCTAGAGTCAACCACCCACGTACTGTAGGATCAAATGTTTTACAGCTATGGATAGATGGATAGCCCTAAATCACAACAGCGGTAGTCTCGGAGGACTTTACAAAGTTGTCGATTCACCAACAACAGATCAGAGAATCAAACAGTTCGAACACAAGAAATGCAAATTCTGTACTTTTGTTTTTGCAATTGACGTGTCTGTGTATTGTTTTACTTGTTGTGGTCTTTAGTGGTCTGTAGTGGTCTGCTGGGGTCTGCTGTGGTCTGTAATGGTCTGTAGTGGTCTGCTGCGGTCTGTAGTGGTCTGTTGTTTTTAATTATGGAGAGTTTTGTGATGCTGGTCTGTGAAATGTGCTATACAGATAAGCTTTACTTACTCACTTACTTGAAATGCTAGTAAATGAGCATAAATGTCCCGGATCATCACTGTCCTTTAGTTTGGGATTTTTGTTAGTTTGATTTTCACCTTGGACATTCATTCATTATTAAAAAACAATTTAAATTCCTACATTTAGAATCCTTCTTTAGTTTTCAGCCTATGGCAAGAAAGGTAAACTAAACCGAGGTCAAATTTTTTTTCAATACTCGATAATGGAACCCAGAAATATATTGGGCCAGAGTCAAATCAAAATGGTCCATATTATAACATCTTCTCTGTGTTATTATTATATTATTTATCCACCCAGTTCTTCCATAACTGTCCCCATCTGACCACTCACCTACATTGACATTCATAAGTGATTGATGACACTGCTTGTATCAGCCCATAGGTACTGACCATGTATGGACTTCCTTCCCTCCACCGGTCTCACGGCTGAACTGGTTTTGATAGTTTTAACAAGAGCCCAGGAGACCAGAGACCACATCAAGGTCGGCTTTCGAGAAACCGGCGATAGTGTGTGCATGTGTGTGTGATTGTGTGCGTGTTTGTGTGTGTGTGTTGACGAACAGATAAATAAATGATATTCCTTATGCTTCAGGTGTAGGTGTAACACGTTTGGCTTTGCCATTAATTAATTCCCATGGATTCGTTAAATGTCAGATGCAGCATGTGGATGGAAGAGACGCTCGAATCGCACACAGAAATGTAAAGGTCTTTTTATACGTTTGCTCAAGATGGTGAGATTAAAGAAAAGTCATTTCCGATAGAGAAAATGAGACATAATGTGTAGTTTATTGTATCTGGAGCTTCTTCGTGTGATTTTCTGCATATTTAAACAGTAAAGATGGACCAATACGAATTAAATCAGATGTCAAATTGGAGATGGACTTGGATCAGATATATTTCGGGGATATTTTTGGATTTATTTTAACTAGACCTTTCAGATGTAATAATACTGTAATATTTAGTGGATGATTTTTAGCCAGAACTTTATACAGTTTGAAGTCCATGTAGTCCTTACATGCTGGAACCCAGTTGGATTTTTTTTCCAAAATTTGATATTAATCCAGCTGTGACAGGCTAATAGAGAAATAGTGGTTATCAAGAACATCTCTTTGACAACCACCTCTGTAACTATGGCAATGATGATAGTTAATACAGTAGGTGTTGCGAATGAGTGTATTGAAACCAGGAAATATTGAGAAAAAGTTTGGATTAGAGTTTCCCAACCACTGCAAAATGATAGAAAAGTGAAATCTCTTAACGTATTTCCCTATTTGGACAATCCCCATTTGAAATTGATTTTAATCCAACTCAACCGAAGACCAAGAAGAAGCTGGTATGGTTAGTTTTCCTTTTATAGTGTAATATTTTGGGTTTTTTCCTCTCCAATCCCATATTTACAAGAATTTATCTCACTTACTAGTCTCCAGTGAAGTCAAGCCAAAAGCAGACCCTCCACCAAAAAGTTGCACAGTTCACCATTAAGCCTCTATTCAACCAACAAATACAGAAGATATTAAGGCAATAGGTCATTTCAGTATTCAGGTGAAACTAGAATGAAAATTATCGCACTAGAAAAGATAGGACTGGTCTTGGTTCAAAAGATGCCAAAAAACACAATCAAACACAAATCCTTTCTACTCCAAACCAAATCCAAACCATTCTTTCTCCAACCAAACCGAAATACATGTTATACACTTGCCACGGGAGAGACCTCACCAAACCCCATAAGTTATTAAAAACATGTGTGTATTTTTGATGCGCCTTAAGAACCCCACTTCAGACCCTAAAAAACACCGTGATGCCGCCTCTGCTGCCACAGTTTACCAAAGAGACTCGCAGAAGCATCAATTATACAAGACTTTTTCACCGCTGCCCGCTTTCACCGCTGGGGCCACGAACTTCTATTTACAAAGCGAGGCATGAGAAACGACAAGAAAAAAGACAAGATACATGCAGCATTTTCGGTGGTATGTTTCAAAATGACAACATCGCAGGTGACAACAGTCCAAAACAGCAGCTGATTCATGAGGTAAAAGTAACTGATGAATTGAAAGCCATAAAACAAGGAAAACAAATGTGTGTAGCATAGTTCAGACACAAGGGAACTCAAGGTGCTGAACAAAACAATAAACAATGAATTCAAAAGAGAGAAGATACAATCCTTCAGAACTGTTTTTAATCTGGATTTGAACATTTGATTTGTCAGAGTAGAAGCAGGAGGTAAGAGGTTGAATATGTCTTAACAATGATCCGATAGTGTACTACTAGCTTACTACTATACCAATAGATTTTACCCACACAGAAGGATTGGGACGCTTTTTATCTTTAAAGAAGAGAATGCATTTTTGTCCTGAATATATGATCACATCTTCACCATTTTCACCTGTAGCATGACTTAAAGTGAAAGAGTCTATGTTGTAGTGCATCTAACTTTGTGATTTGAGGATTAGGAGCACAGGGACTGGCCTCCTGCTGGGACTCTGAGGAGCACAGGGACTGGCCTCCTGCTGGGACTCTGAGGAGCACAGGGACTGGCCTCCTGCTGGTGCCCAGAGTCAGGACTAAACATGGGGAGGCAGCATTTCAGATTCATGCAACTAAAATATGGAACAGTCTTCCTGAAAAAAATAAGACAGGCTTCTACTCTGAAAATGTTCAAATGGATTCTATCTTCAGTCTTTTTTAACTCTAGGACTTTGAGAAATCTGATCTATTAGAACTGCTCCAAAAACAATGGAAACCTGAGAAATTCACCTAAAAATGTTTAGATTCCCACCAGATTTAATAAAAGTTACCAAAAATACGGATGTTATGAGAATTTTTAACTTTTCTCAAGGTATACCAGATTAGTAAATACGCTTCCAAAACTAAAAGCCGTCGAATTGACTGCTCTGGGAGTTCTAGAGTCAATATACTGTGATTATTTAGGATTTTAATTCCTGGTATGATTGCTTCTATGTTCTATCTTGTTTTGTTCAGCCTTGCGTATGAACAAGACACATCTCACAACACGTGCTATACAAATAAACTTGCCTTGCCTGGATCGTAAATAGTGACAGAATGTGAATGTCTCACCTGTAGCACGGGTGTCACTCGCAGACGTAGCCGCAGAAAGAGCGTGCAAAGCTGTCAGAAGAACCAACTTCACACACGCACTCGCCAGCTTCATGATGCCCCCGTGGCCGATGCGTAAAAACCAAAACCCAAACACACGCGCGTTCTGGTCTCTCGCCTCTCCTCGTCTCTCTCGCCTCCCCTCTCTCTCTCTCTCTCTCTCTCTCTCTCTCTCTCTCTCTCTCTCTCTCTCTCTCTCTCTCTCTCTCTCTCTCTCTCTCTCTCTCTCTCTCCCTCGCCTCCTCTCTCCTTCTCCTTCACTGCAGCATCACACAAACACCCCAAAAACACAACAGCTGATGCGTTCAAGCCAAACCCCCTCGCAAAGAAGAAAAAATAGGAGAGAGAGAGAGAGAGAGAGAGAGAGAGAGAGAGGGAGAGAGAGCTTCCTGAAATACGATCTGTGTGGAGGAAATCCCTGGCGCGACAGCTGAAGGTTCATTCACAAGAAATAGAGGAGAGGAGAGTATAGTCCCGCTTGTGTAAGAGAGAGACGCAAAAAGATCCGTGCGTAAAAAGTGGCGAGAGAGAGAGAGAGCAAGAGAGAGAGGATAAGACAGGATTCGTGTGGAATGGGACAGGGAACGGGAAAGGCGCACGGATCGCTCGCCCGGTTGGAATGACACCAATTCCTCAGCAATTACTGGAGAGAAGTGTTGTATTATGAGAGAGGGGACCATGTGCTTTTGAGGAAACGGCTCCGCGCGGTCCTAGAGAGCTGCGGATGAGGGTAGTGGACTGGACCGTCAAAAAGCAAGAAATTGTGTTAAAAAATCAAGTACAGTGATGTGTTTGTGAACGCCATGCCAGGATGGGTGGAAAATGGGGAAGTTTTAAGCAAGTTCATTCAATTATTCAATGTTTTTTGTATGGCACAGTTTGCGTATGAGGTGATGCAGTGTTTCACAAGAGCAATAATAAACTCAGAACAAAATGCATTCAAAAAACTGATTCAAAAGGCATTAAAGATACATACATGATATCCAATACACTTTATTTATATGGTATATTTTATAAATCAAGTTTCCAAAGCTTTGCAAAGACAAAGTAAGACATTAAGATACAAACAAATAATTACAATAGATAAGAAACGATACATAAATAACCATCCATCCATTTTCTTCCCCGTAATCCATTTCTGGGTCGGGGGGGGGTGGCAGTCAGAGCTGATATATATAGATATAGAACCATTTCATATTACAACAATGCAGCATAAAAGTAAATCTCTTATTAAAATGGGGGAATAATGTTATTTCTATTTTTTTTAACAAACTGTTGAATCCATCCATCTCTCTTACAAGATAGAAACAATCAAATAAGGCATTAAAATCATGAATGAAGTATCACAGTACATTAAAAATAGTGTAGATACAATCCTTCAGTTGTACACACAGCTAAACTGAACTGTTTCTAACCTGGATTTGAACATTGTCAGAGAAGAAGCCTGTCTGACATTTTCAAGAAGACAGTTCCAGCTTCATGAATCTGAAATGCTGCCTCCCCATGTTTAGTCTAGTCCCTGTGCTCCTCAGAGTCACCAGCATGAGGCCAGTCCCTGTGCTCCTCAGAGTCACCAGCATGAGGCCAGTCCCTGTGCTCCTCAGAGTCCCAGCAGGAGGCTGGTCCCTGTGCTCCTCAGAGTCCCAGTTGGTTCATATGGCATTAACATGTCACCGATGTACTTTGGTGCGAGGCCATGGAGAGACCTGTACGCACGCCAGCACAGGGACCTGAGAACTGGACTAATGTGATGGTACTTCCTGGTTCTGTAACTATAAAACCGTTGTCAGATATTGTACATTTATTACACACTGAAGCATATTATAATTTTAAAAGGTTGAATCACCAAATATTTCCTCTGCACACATTTATAAAGAGAATAGGAAGCTTTTTTCCAGCTACATCTAAACCTTTCCCTCTTGTATCGCGTGCTTCATGGACGGGATAATCACTAATTACGAGTCTATGTCTACACACCTTTATCAAGTCAATTTTAAATACCTCTCCGCTGCCTTCACTGCTATTTTTATCCACACAATGAGCTGGTGTAATTGACTTCTGACATTCACCGATGCATCCCCCCATTCAAGACAGACTCTCCTTTATACTGGCTCTGGTCACGTGTCTGTTCATGTCCTGTCGTTTGAAGGAGCAGGGGAAAAAAGGCTATAGAAATCTCCAGAGGGATTGTAACCTGTACTGTAGTCTGATGAGACCAGACCTTTTGAAATTGCATTAGAATTGACCCTGTTAGATTTGAATTGTGTGCGGTGAAGACAATGATAAAATATGAGGTAATTGCTTGATTAGAGTGGTTTTCATCCACATTTTATACATTCTGACTGTGTTAAAACAAGATTGGCTAATTGGAGGAAGCCATTTTGTCTTTTTTCAACAACTGTTGCTTTCCAAGTGAGACATTTCTTGTATCTTTTTAAAACAAGATCATTTTGCTCATTAAGTTGCCTTGTGTATGATTTTGTGCTTTACAAATAAACTTGCCTTGCCTTTCTATTGTCCCATTAGCAAATTTTGTTTTAAAGCAGTCAAAAATGTGCCCAAAATGTAGATGCATTTTTCCAAATTTGAGCAATTTCTAACTTTTTTCTCATCATTTTTGCAGTGTATATAATTCTTGATGAGCTCTGGACAGCAATGATGTGGTGTGTGTTATACGTCAACGTTGCGGTCAAAACATTCAAATAGAAAGCAACAACATACGTTTGAATGAATGTTAAATTATGTTATGAAATGTTTACTCAGCTTTAAATTCTCATTTATAAGTAAGTAAGTAAGTTTTTATTTATATACCGCCTTTTCACTGCAGATCTGAGTCTCAAAGCGGTTTACAATTGTTGAATCACCAAATCACCAAAGAGATGATCACAATCTCTTTTTTATATTCTTTAAACTGTGTCTCCATTTCTTTATTAGAGAAAGAGCATGCTGTCTCTCTATGGTCTCTCTGCAGAGAGAGACTAGAGAGAACCCAGAGAGAGAGAGAACTCAGAGAGAACCCAGAGAGAGATAGAGCAAAGAGAGACCCCAGAGAGAGATAGAGCAAAGAGAGACCAGAGAGAGATCAGAAAGGGACCAGAGAGAGGCCAGAGATAGACAGCAGAGAGAGACTAGAGAGAGACCAGAGAGAGACCATAGAGGCCAGAGAGACCAGAGAGCGTTAGATGGATTTTATTACATAGTGTTTTGAAAGTTAGAAACCCCAGCTTTAAAGTTAGAAAGACAGAATTCCTCCACTGTACTACTCCCTCTAGTGGTGCACCAGGACAACAGCTAGTTAGAACGATATCTCATACAATTTCTCTTTTCATTTCATTTAAAAGCCGCATCAAATTCCACATACGCCAAAACATTAAGATCAATCGCCTTTTTTAAGTCAATGAAAAAGTAGGAATCCGGTGAATTGTCGCCACGGAAACGCAGACGGGACAGAGGCTTCATTGAGAGCAGCACAGTCCATTAGCAGTTATGGCCGGAGAGGTCACATTCCTCCGGTCTCTAGTCCCGATAGTCTCCAGCGAGCGATGCCAGGGCCCACGCTTTTGCTGAGCTCACATCATTAGAGAGGTGCTTGGTCACTGTCTGCAGACCACACAAAACGGGGCGAGTTGTGTAACTATGGGTAATTATTTAAAATCTCGATAACACTGTATGTGCTTAATCAAAAATGCAAGAAGGTTACTATAGGAATGGGTAAATATTATGGATTGGATCGTTCTGCAGCTTGAGTCCTGGATCTATGGTCTGGTCTGTGGGAGCGGACGCCTCTCTCAATGTGGGTCTAATCGAGGTTTCTCACATTTTTTTCCACACTTTTTCCCCACTGGGTTATTTTTTATGTGGCAGGGGTGTTCAAACTTTTTAGTAAGAGGGCCACTGTAGTTCGCCTGACTTGTCCAGGGGCCGGCAACACGAATTGTAATAATGTTTTGACTAAATCTGGGCTGATTTGGGCTGATTTTTTGTGTATTGATTCACACTAATGAAGCTCAAGCGGATGTTCAGACTGAAAGACCGAGTGCCTGCCAGCCTCGAGCCTCAGCCAATCACACAGCTCTGCCAGCCTCGAGCCTCAGCCAATCACACAGCCAGGCCAGCCTCCTGCCAACCCTCTCAGAGCAAAGCGGGCAGTTTAAAAGGCAGCCACTTCCTGACAAACAACGCTTCCTGAGGCTCTTAAACAACCATGGGCATGGTTCTCTGACCGCCGCTGCTGCCGGTCCCTGCTGCTCCTACTAATGCCTGTTCCCTGATGCCTGCTCCCCGTTCCTGCTGCTACTACTGATGCCTGCTCCCCGTTCCTGCTGCTACTACTGATGCCTGTTCCCGCTGCTGCTCCTACTGATGCCTGCTCCCCGTTCCTGCCGCTCCTACTGATGCCTGTTCCCGCTGCTGCCTGTTCCTGCTGCCGCTCCTGCTGCTCCTACCGCTGCCTGTCCCTGCTGCTCCTACTGATGCCTGTTCCGCTGCCGCTCCTGCTGCTGCCTGTTCCTGCTGCCGCTCCTGCTGCTGCCTGTTCCGCTGCCGCTCCTGCTGCTGCCTGTTCCTGCTGCCGCTCCTGCTGCTGCCTGTTCCTGCTGCCTGCTCCTGCTGCTCCTACTGATGCCTGTTCCGCTGCCGCTCCTGCTGCTGCCTGTTCCTGCTGCCGCTCCTGCTGCTGCCTGTTCCGCTGCCGCTCCTGCTGCTGCCTGTTCCTGCTGCCGCTCCTGCTGCTCCTACTGATGCCTGTTCCGCTGCCGCTCCTGCTGCTGCCTGTTCCTGCTGCCGCTCCTGCTGCAGCCTGTTCCTGCTGCCTGCTCCTGCTGCTCCTACTGATGCCTGTTCCCGCTGCTGCCTGTTCCGCTGCCGCTCCTGCTGCTGCCTGTTCCTGCTGCCGCTCCTGCTGCAGCCTGTTCCTGCTGCCTGCTCCTGCTGCTCCTACTGATGCCTGTTCCCGCTGCTGCCTGTTCCGCTGCCGCTCCTGCTGCTGCCTGTTCCTGCTGCCGCTCCTGCTGCTGCCTGCTCCTGCTGCCGCTCCTGCTGCTGCCTGCTCCTGCT